AATGATCACACCGTAAATAACGTAAATGGTACTAAAAAACTCAAGGTTGGACCGTGGTCTTGTGCTAAATGAATATTTAAACAATGCTTTTTGAAATCATAAGCTAATTTAAGTTCGTCACTAACTCGTTTAGCTAGTTACAAACTTCAGCATATTGCCAGATGCTGTGAGTGGTAGGTATCTATTTTTTTCTGAATCTTCAAATTCAGGGATGAGTTTTCAGAATTCGAGTCAAATGGGATGATGCTTATAACTTTTTTACCTAGTAGACATGAAATTAATTCAAATTCAATTTTTTTCTAAAACATCTTCGAGAGAAAATTCTAGAGAAACAAAAGATATCTAACCCCACGAATAAGATTTATCCGAAAAGTAGTTTTGAGATATTTGAAAAAAATAGTTTTTATTAACTTTAACACCCTATATGTGCCCTAAAAGTTGTTCGTCAACTATAATTTGCTACAAATACAACACAATTCATAATTATATGGGTCTGAAATTCAAGCCATTATCCTTATACAAAATCACAGTAGCCATTATAATCTTTTGTATCGGTTTTTATAACAATATATTAGATTTATACGACAAAGATATTTCTCGTCAAAATTAAATAACTAGCAACTATTGAGTTCAAATTTATTTTTTACTTCACTTTTAAATAAGCACAGGAGGCCTTGGAAACTAAAATTAATTACCTCTAAAGTCGTTATATCAATAACAAAAAATCGGAGGATATCCTCTTTTAGTTTTTTCTCTGTATTTGAGCATTCTACCACCAATAAAAGAATTAAAAATGATTTAATTAAATTACTCTTACGCTAAAAGTATCGTTCAAGGGTTGTTTTTATGAATTAACCAAAAATTCCATACCGAAAAAAGTACCTATGTTTTTAAAATAAAATGTATCCTCGTCAGTAAGATTTTCCCACATAATGAATAAAACACTTTTGTTTTTCTGATTATAGTCTAGGTTAAATGTGTGTCTACTAAATGTAAATCTACTTAAAAGTACTAATTTATTCAAATATACATACCTACCTAGATACTGTAATTAGTTCATTTTATTTATCAGTTTCCTCGAAGTCAGGGAAACTCCTACTAAACAATATGTTCACATGCATTTTTTATATAATGGTCTGTTATATACAAATATATTTTTTTTGAAGCTTAAATTAACTCCAATAAATCTTTAAATTTCCAAATACAAACAATTGACCTTAATAATAAAAATATACACTTTGTCCCAAAATTATTGCTGAAAAGTGACAATTTCTATTTACTAATTGACCTGTTTCAGCATTTCTTTTATATTTCAACTGTATTTCTCCCAATAAAATCGTTTCCTCGGTGAGTAAACATTCCGAAAATTCAGTTATTTCTCATAGCGACACAACGCAGAACATAGTCGACTTCCTAGTGCCGAACCGCTTCGGTTCGAATTATCGTTCCGCTTGGCACGCCACGAAATCTATTACAACTCGAACACATCCTCAGTCCCCCCACACCGGCTATTGGCAAGCCGGTGACGTAACATTAAGAATCCCCAGTAACAGGATACCATAACTACGAGCAACCGTGCGGTTCCTAGACGTTTCTAGCGTAACGCCTCGTTGAAATCTCCTAGCATTTGATACAGTCCGGACCCAGATGGAAAGAAATCCTTCCAGACGGGTAAAAAACGAACGAAGTCATTGCATGTCTGATCTGAATCTTGCTAAATGAAACGCTGTTATTGAATTATGACCGATAGTCCTTTGTTTAAGACCTTTAAGCCTGTATTAGGTACACGATGCAATTTAGTTGCAGCGACAAAATTGCGGGTATAAAATTGCATGCTTATTATCACCCAATGGGACAGATTCGCTGCAATTTGTTTAGTTTGCAGCAGCGTTACCAACTGTGCATTGTTAACATGTAAAATTTTTTGTATATATCTTGTAAACAATTTTTTATTCAAGCAAAACCTTGCAATAGATGAAAATTTAGAAGTAAATTGCTGTATAGCTTTAATAGTGGCTTCAACGGTGTTACTAACAACAGCCACGACCAACAGCCGACAACAGCTAGGTTGGTAATAAACAAATCTTCATAAAAGTAACTAGAATCCATGCAATTTTGTTGCACGGAATAGAGCATGTTCTAATTCATGCAATCCAGTTGCCGAGAAAAAACTGCAAAGTCTGATAAGAAAAATTTCATGGATTCTATCGCGGCAACCAAATACCTGCAACAGAATTGCATTGTCTGATACAGGCTTTAGAAGGACAAGAAAGTCTATAAATTCTATTGCCTGGATGAAATCGACTGGTGTCAAATACTTAGTAACAAAAGTGACGCCCGTCCTTATAGGTTTTGATTAAAGGGACAAAAACGAATCGAAAATCAAGAGTGGAAAATTTTCCGATTATTCAAAAAATTATTCAAAAAACTAAAAATAAACATTTGGACTGGGTTATTAAATACTTATGTAGTTCAAAGCTGTATTTGCTGCAGCTGTATGTTTTTAAATGAAAACTTATCATTGCCATTGCTGCATGACGTTCCGTTAGAAGTTAGACTAAATTATTGGTTTTAACATGATGGAGCTCCATCACATTATAGTTTACGAATATAAAATTATCTGAATCAAAACTTCCGAGACAGATGGATTGGAACAGAAGGACCAAGGCCTCCTGGATCACCAGTGCTGAATCCCCTAGATTTTTCTTTTGGGCTTATTTAAAAGAAAAGATTTATAGTCGGTATATTCACTGCTGTCGCGTTAACAGACCAAGAGATGCTACAAAGAGTTCATGCCTCAATGTTGAATAGTGATAATGAAAATTTTCCACTCTTGATTTTCAATTCATTTTTGTCTCCTTAATCAAATCCCAAAAGGACGGGCGTCACTTTTGGGACACCCTGTATAATTATTACATTGCGTTTCTAAAAATATTGATAGGATAATAAACATTTTTAGGGAATTGTTAGGAAAGCAGAAAGGTAAAATACAGAATTTTAATTATTTCGAAAGGTAGGTACGTGTGCATGTGCATAATATCTATGCTATAACTATTTATCAACAATATGGAATAATGATATGGTATAACGATTTACTAACGATATGATACTAACGATTAAAAATTGGATTCCCAATTGGATTTCTAATTGGATTTCCAATCTCCATAAAATCGGGTTGGATTTTTGGTACCTCTTCATGTGTAAAACTTTAATTAAACACACATTGCTCTGGTAGGTAATCAAAATCAAACAAGAAGAGCACATCCTGCATCTTCCACGTGACTGAGCCTTTCGCTTAATTTTGTTACGTAAAATGTTTTCCTCCTGTTTCCAATCGCAAATATTCGCTCTCAATAGCCATCTCGAAATTGGCGGATGCGAGCGATTTTTTACATATACAGGCTCAGACGGTTCAAGCGTATACATGTGGTTAAAATTATATTAATCGACAAATCACAGTTTTCGTGCAAAGTAAACGTTTTCCGCTACCTAGACTTGGTATTATTTCATTTTCATCCTTTAGGGTTCAACCAGGACCATACATTTTGCGGTACGCCAGAGAGAAAGTTTGCGCCCCTTGTGCCGTTCCTAACGCAGACTCGTCGTTAGATAAAGGCGAAAGCTGTGAACGACGCAACATCTGGATGGAATGGCCAGTTGCCTGTATTTTTTTAAATTCTTATTGTGGAACAGGGCTCTTGGTCCGGGGCCAATTGTTATGAAGCAGTGAAAGTGTAAGATTGAAAGAGACCATAAAAATTTATTGCGTATATAAGACATGTACACTGTGTCGTTTTGTCGTTTATCTTAGGTGACGCGCTTGTTTGACAACTTTTTTTTAGCAAGGTACTGTTATGGCTGTCTCTGTCGCCGACTTTACTGAAATTTTATGTCCAATGGAATTATTGATATTCTTTTTGTCTTCGTTGCGATTGCTATGTCCAAAGGTTAGTGCAGCTCTCTCGGTTTCGAAAATTCAATACCTTATGTATGTTTTCAGCCACGAAAAATGAATAACTCCTACGATTTGTAAATGTGATGCATTTCAATGTGTTTTTATAAGTAGGTAGGTACCTACGTATAAAAACTATATTTTTTGTAAGAGTAAATGTGATGTCACTTACGATGTTGCTTAAAATATAATTTATTTATTACAGTCTACATTACTACAAGTATATTTGTTAAATTAAAAAAAAATCATAGGGTAAATTACACCCTTTCCCCACACGGACCAAATATGTTGTAATATTTTTACAGTGTAGGTACTTTAATTACTTAACAACATACCCATTAGCATCAATAGCATAATTATTTAGAGCTCGTATAACTTATATGTAATTCGTGTTCAAAATTATGAACTGGCGTTATCTGTCGAGGTGGTAATCGATTAGTAAATAGAAGATCCTAGTAAACATTTAGATAAGCTGTTTAAGTTTTACAAAACACTTAAAATAAGCACGTATTTGGATACTCACTTTGCGCGTTTAAATTTAATAATTCTAACCAAGATTTCAAAATTAAAAGTGTTTAATTTTTTATTACCATCCGTTTCCTCTCCTATAAAACATTCAACTGATGGTTTATCAAAGCAAATATCATACTGCATGGAAAAAATACTTTTTCAAATCACTTGAGGGTTTTATAATTTGTTTTCACTATGCAGGATTAAATGTACTATTTCAGTGCCCAATTCCAGAAGGTAGAGTATCACTTTTAACCCTCCATGTATTAAATTTACCTTTAACAAAAACAATTGAACGTTTACTAATGTAACTTATGTGGTTTTTCAAAGTATCGTGACAGTTCTGTATTATTATTTGGTTATTGAAATATTTATTCTCATTTGTTACTTGAATGCTACAAAATTATACGCTGATTCCTGAATCCGACCCTGGCGTTTGCGCCATGTACGAATCACTCACGGACCTTGTATATAATACGCTATTATCCAGTGTTTACTTTGAAGTTGCTATTTGTTAAATCTTATTATCCTGTTTCAGGATGATGTCGCCCAGCAGCTCGCCCGCCACCTCCCCCACCATGTCCAACTCGTCGTCGCCCACTCCGCCAGCGGTCAACTACAACAAAATCACGGGCATCCCCTGCGTGGCGGCGGCCTCCAGGTACACCGCCCCCGTCCATATCGACGTGGGGGGCACGATATACACCTCATCGCTGGAGACGCTCACCAAGTAAGTGACAACAACGTACTATATCAACCAGCATTGAAACCACCAGACACATACCGGTGGAATATTTTTTATATTGTGCCGCAGGCAAATTCTTTTCTAAGGGTATAAGGACATTTTTAAATTTCTGAAACAATTACTGACGGTATTTTTTAATATAGTTTTTAATTTTGGGTGAAAAAGGGAGAATTAGAAATTGTCGACGCTTTTTCTGAATTTAACAAGTAATTTCATGACCAATAAAGTTCGCGATCGTCTCGTTGGGCGCATATCTCGCAGATCTTATCAAGCGTGGCACACCATGTAATACGGCTGTAATTAAAGGCTGGTATTAATTATTTCTAAATAATTACAGCATATGGCAGACGTTCTCCGGCGTCTATACAGCTCTAGCGGTACAGCATACATCGAGCCACTGTTTAATGAATAAAATCGCGTTAAATTGCGGTTATTAAAAAGTCCACAAACCGTACAAAATTCGTTTGGAACTCGGCGACCATTCAGCCAATTAGTTTGTCGTTAATATCTAATATTTTAATTATTATCGTTTCACTGACATGAAACATAACTGCGCGTAATTCGAGTTTTGATCATATTTCAAATTGAATTGAGCCGTATTGCAAACACGTCGTGTGGTTAACATAAATTATTACACGAAACTTCATATTTCATTAAAACGAGAAGCGATATTTCGCGTTTTCCAAATTAAATGGAATGATTTAGTTTCAAAGGCAGCAATATGTTTAAAATTAAACTGTAAAGGTTTATTGAAATTCATTTAATATTTCAATAAAGCAGCCGCATATCCCATAATATAGCTTACAAGGATTTTTAATTTCGATATTAATAAATATGGATATTAAAACGAATTCGCAGTGGATTAATATATACTGTTTTCAAGGACTGTTATTTACAATTTCAGGACTGACCAATTTTTGCCGGAAGACATAGAAAACACAGATTTTTTATATAAAAATTATATATTTTTTTTATTCATAAAATATACAGTACTTAGGTATAGTAAGTACACTGTAAAAAAATCGGCGTGAGTGAAAGCAATATATTAATTTCGAGTAATTTAAATGGCGCCGTGAAGATGGCGCCACTTACATATCGCTTCTGTAATCTCGACCACAGTTGATATGGTCCCGTTAGATGCTACAGAAAAGCGTGATCGCCAGGAGAACAGACGACGGCGGTGGGTCTGAGCTGGCGGGTCTCAGCCAGGCAGGACGAGACCCCGCGAAGTATCCTAATAAATCATTTTATAAATGATTTATTTTTGCACTCAATACTTAGTTAACTAAAAACTAAGTTTGAGTAGAAAATAACTCAATAACAGTTAAATTTAAATCATATTAAAGAAAAAGTCAACTCTAAATTGGTTTTATATACTCAGAATGTAGTCAAAAGTCGCTCAACTGATAGTTAGCAGTAACTCGGATTTGAGTAAAACTCACTTATTTCTGATGTATTCATAGTAATAGTGAAAATTTCACTCAATCTTGTGTGGACAGAAATTGATACATCATTGAGTAAAATTGACTGAAATTTGAGTGAAATTTTTTTAGTGTACGCATTCTTTTGTTGAAAATTTCCAGGACTGTTTCGCATACCTATATGGGGCTTAATTTCGTCGTCCTCCAAGAAGTGGGTGGTTGTGGGTTTCCTCGCATAAACCTTAGACTTCAAAAAGAACCTCAAGAAAAATCCAACGGAGTTAAATCGCATGATCTGAGCGACCAAAACGGGAAATTACACGACCAGGAAATTACTCAAACAGTATTGAATTATTTCTCGGACTGTATGGGATGTGGCATCGGGTTGTTGCAACTCCATGTCGTCTACATCCATACCTTGCAATTTAGGCACAAAAAACTGGATTGTCATGTGACGATAGCGAGCACAATTAACTGTTATTGGCTGATTATTGCATTGTCCGATGATTTTTTTTTGTTTAGCGCTCCATTTTTAATAACTCTTCATGCTGCTTTTTATTTTTCGTCGGCACAAATAACGCAAAATCCAAATCTTGCGCGAATTTTGGGACACCCGGTATATGAATCTGAAGCCACAGGCTACACTGAAAACAATTTCTTGTAATTTTACAAGTAATTTCACACGCATATTTTAGAAAATCTATAATTTGTTGGTAATAAACTTCACAATGTAAAAATAATCAAAATAACTGACTGACTTACAAGCACACAATTTTTATGAAAGTGTCTTAGAGTTCATGAACCACAAAATAATTTATCCGAACTTCACTAGATCCTAAAATTTAAATTGTACCCAATTAAGGATGCGATAAAACGGTCCTTATTCCTGTTTTTGAATACAGCCATAGCAAAAATTCAATGAAACGAACTTTCACATCATCGCTCATGTATTATTTGCATAAGTTTAATTGACCCAATCTATATCACGGAAAAAAAAATGCGGACGGAGCATATGGCATGCCGATGTGAATTCTTCGTGATTGGAAAAAACATAGTAATATATGAAAAGAGCCCGAGGCCTGCTATTTAGCAGTGTATTTACCTATGCATTTGAAATGGCTTTTGGACATTGAAACCTAGTAATCCCTGAAAATTCACATAATATATTGGGAAGGTTAACTTTCACGCAGAAAGTTGCTAATAATCTACAGGGTGGTCCGTTTTTCATGGCTCACCATTGGCATCTGGGAATCCGTAAGGTATTCAGGATGACTCAAATTAGAAAAAAGTTGCGCTTTTTCAGGTTCATTGAAATAAACTAAACAGATCAAAGATATCTGCTGCCGTTCCTGAAATATTTTGAAAAAACTGAAAATAGCAATTCTAGAAAATGCCATCTAGCGTCTTTATTTCACAACAGAAAGAGCTGAAAGGTGCTGGGAAGATACGAAGAATTCATTTTCGTCGAAAGAAAATTTCTACGGCCTCTAGTTTCAGTTATGCAACATTCAATTGTTTTTTTTTCTTATGGGCGCCAAATATTAGATTTTGACAGTAACAGATAGAGGATAAAATTACGAACACATCAATGTATAACACTACAATTTTATTTGAAGAATAACCAGAAAATTTAAGAAATCGATAATTTATTTAAAAAAGTAAAGTAATCTAGTTGTTCTTAACGTAAAACAAAAATCAATATTCAATAAAACAAAATACACAAATATTCTACAAATTCTACATAAATACTTCAGTGTCGTCCATTCTCGTGCAGACAAAGCTCAGTCCTCTAATTTTTTCTACAGCGTTTTGAATACTTTGTGGCGAAATAGTCCTAAATGCAGCAAAAACTCTCCCTAAGTCTTCCATATTTTCACAGGAACTAAATTTTATTTTTTAGACAAACCCACAGAAAAAAATCTAAAGGGTTGAGGCATGGAGACCGTGGAGGCCAAGCTACAGGTGCATGAGTGCCAATCCCATTATTTGAAAAGCGTCGATTTAAATATTGGGATACCATTGTAGAATTATGAGGCCCTATAAGGGAAGATTATCTAATGCATTCTGCATTTCTATCCTTAAAATATCTAAATACTTCTGAGAAGTAAAGTTACCATCAATAAGAAACGGTCCTATTATACGGTCATTTAATATTCCACACCAAATGTTGGGAAAATCTAATTTGGTGGCTGGTCTTTTGAACCAAATTTGGATTTTCTATGGCATAATAATGCTTATTTTTTGTATTAAATATGCCGTTATTTGTGAACGCAATTTCATCGCTCCAAATAATTTTCCTTATCTTTCCCTGAAACCATCAAAATCCCATCATCCTTCGTTCTCCATCTCCTGAGTTTTTGTACTGGTTTGAATTTATAATCATGGTATATACAATTTCCTTAAATTTAGAAATGACTAACACAATAAGATCAATATTACGTTAAAACATATTCGTGCTGGATACGTTACTGCTCTTCAATAAATCATTCGCTAAAAGTGTTTCCCACAGAATTTTAACGTTTAATTTATGCCATCTCTAAGTTCGCTTAGATACTACCTACCCGATGATACGCGCGATACCAAGAGGCCTTTTAATCGTTAATTTCTTATCGAATTCATGCGTGGTGAACGTAGATCCCAATTAATGGGGCAACTAGATCGTAAATACTGCAAAGGATACGGAGAGTTTCCTGCGAGATCCTGGCCGGATGATAACTTCTCGACAGTCGCTGTTTATGTGGCTTCTAATCAAAGGAAGTTAATAGAATATACCTCGACGCATTTAACACCTCGTAAAACGTAATTGCGACGTTATAAATGCGGAGGAATGGTTATCTCCGAGTATGCCATTAGGAAATAATTTGATGTCTTCACGACATACCGTGGTAGATATGACACTGGGTTATTACGTATCGCTTAACTTTTTTGCACTCCGTGGATAGTGATCCTAATTTCAAAAGTAAATTCAACCCTAAGAGTGACATATTTAGGTTTAAATTAACTTTTAATCCCTTCTTATAAAAACAAATAGTGTTTTTTAATGTACCTAATTCAAATGCTTGCCTCATAATGAACCAGAACATCGCAATTAATTTTTTTTTTAAATAAGACATATAACAAAATCTCTTCTTGAGTTAATAATTGAAATGAATGTTGATAATCGAAAGCTAAGCCCATCATAAATACAGTGTGATGGAACAAAATACATATTTTTTTTGAAATTTTAAAAATTCGCTGAAACAGGTCAATTAGTAAATAGAAATTGTCACTTTTCTTCAATATTTTCTATTTTTTTGAGAGTTTGACAGACCTACACTGCCCTATTTTGGAAAAAGACCGTATGTGCAGTTTTGTGACAAACTGAGATAATTACATTTTTGAAATCCACATCGCATTATGCCCGTCTATAAAAAATATCAAAAATATCGTTTTTGTTTCTTTAAATTTAAAAATCTGTACATTTTAAATTTCTAATATTGTGTCACTCTTATTTTCTTCGTTTTGCTAAAAATTCCACAGCTATCCTCGCAAGAAATTGCATGATTTTAGGTGATAACACAAAAA